TCTTAACAATAAAGACTAACGTAATTGATGGTTGCTAATTTTAGAGACTAAAAATTAAATTAAGAATTCAAGATATGAATACGAATGAAGCTGCATATTTCAGATATTAAAGTAAATGTTTATTTCTTTATTATGACTCTGATTTTTTTAAAATCAATTTTTGAAAACATGTAAACTGTAATTAAGGCTAAAGATACAAGGCACAACTAAAATTATGTTTATAAGAACAGCAAATAATATACTTTATGGTATATTCTTTTTATCACACATTTAATCAATGATTAAAATTTATTAAAAATTATAAAGATCATATGACTTTTACTCTTAATATAATGTTTTTTTCATATATTTTAATGCTTCACTTTTATACTTTTATCGTTTTAAATAAATTTTATTTAATAATTAGATGTGTTTAAGATGATATCTTATTAATATTTTTCTTATGGTTATATATTTGTACTTAGATTTAAATAATCTGTCAAAGAGCTAAACTATATATGTCCAAAATTTTATGTCTACTATTATGAAGGGATTTGAATCTTTTCCGGGTAACTTGAGAATTGGATGCCTAATTTTATTTATACTTACAGATTAAATTTACTTACACAAAAATATTGCTTAACCAACTTAGTTCTCTACAGACACTGAATTCATCTCCCAGGACCACCCTCTTTCGCTACCAACTGAATGCAAATGCAAAGGTGAATTCTTTCAAACTGAGTTAACCTAAACTACCATCAAAGGAGAGAGCTTTTTTTTAAGCATTACTCAATCATTGGAGGGCTTGACAAACTGCAAGGCTATAGGGACGATAACCATGGCGTGTCACCTTGGAATCTTGATGACAAAGTAAGGTTACTTATCCCATTGAGATGTGCTTGCCCATTTTCATCTCATGTTAGACCACAACCAAGGCTTCTTCTTTCTTATCCTGCAGTGGCGGGATAAGAAACGTTGATGCCGGCGCCGATGTGTACTCCTCTAGAGAAGAAACAGCCTCCTTCATCGCCGTCCACAACCAAATCTTCGTCTCACAAGTCCTCATTCTCTAGCTCATTTGGCACCTACTTCTCGTACTCCTCTGCTCAGAGCGAGTCTAGCTAGAAAACAAGTTTTCTCGAGCACAAGCTTCTGACGGATGAGACAACAGAATGAAGAAAACGACATCGTTTAGAGGTAGCAATAAAACAGAAGCATTGGAAAATGACGACCTCTCTTCTTCACAGAGGTTTCATTTAGGTTCAATGTCATGAAAAACTTGAAGAAAACAGCGTTGGATCTTGGAAGCGAGAGTCAGTAACACTTTGAAGAAGGTGTTGATTTGCTTAAGCCGATATTTTCACTTAAATAATTTTTTTTTTTTGGGGGGGGGGGGGGGCGCTTATTTTTTTAGTGTGTTTAGAATGACATCTAAATTATAGGAAACATATTCACTTTGACACTACATGAGATAACTACTATGTTAACATGAGAGTTTAACATCAAATAAAGCATTCATTTTATCTACATTTTAAGTACACTCATTTATTTATATTTTTTGTAAAATATATTCAAGGTCATTTTTGAAAATACTCGTTCTAAAAAAAAGTGAATACATACTTATATTAATATTCATGATTGCTAACATACATTTACTTACTTTTTATAAGGAATATATGTTAGTAAGTTAAACCTTAATTTTATTGTAACATGTTCAAAGCTATAGCTTGCTAAAATTTTTTTTTATTAAATTTTATTTAAATATTTAATATTTAAAAAATAAATGAATTGACTCTATAAGTGATTATTTAAGCACTAACAAATCTTTATATTAATTATTTATGTATGATTATATAATTCAGATTTATGACTCTTATATTCTTAAAATGAAAATTGTTATCGATATACAAGTTTTTTGTGTATATTTATAGATGAATTGATAAATAAACATGAAAAAAGAAATATATGAAAAATATTTTCTTAATACCGACTTAGAGATAAAGATAAATAAAAGAGAGAAAAATAAATGAATGAATAATATGATGCTATAAATAGAGAAAGATAGGGGGAAAAAAATGAAGAATGCTAAGTAGCAAATATGTCCACAGTACCCGGGATGTCTGCTACGTGAATGTGACCCACTCCCAACTCGCATGGGAACGGTGGATCTATGTATATTTTCCGCATGGCACCAATTTAAAGTTGTTACTGGCGCATACTTATTCACTAGAAACAGAACAAGGTCATCAATTTGATGCTTGAATCGTTCAAAGAACTTGGAACAGCTGTAATCTATCCAACCTAACTTAGACAATTCTTTTGCTCCTGAATTTCTTGCAACATTTTCATCTTCCACAGAAGCAGAAATTAAATTGTGGCATGAAAATTGAATTTTAACTTTGAAATTAATTTGAAAAGGAAATATAAGCATAAGTGTCACGCCCCGAGTAAGCATGGGCATGGCTATTAATTGAATTGCTCTTAGCAATGCACCGACAATTACATACATTGAACTAAGGTTAAAATTAAATGCAGATTCAATTAGAAAGTATGGGATTGATAGTGAGTCATAATGTTACATGAGCCAACTCATTTGAACAGAGTGACTTTTGAGACCATTGTTAAGTCATGCGCGTTTTTATTTATGGGTTATTATTCAAATGCCGGTGGACCTATGTTTTGAACTTTAGTGATATTATTGCATTTTCTTTTGAGAAACAAACAAACTATAAATGGATAAAATAATTTGAGTGTAGGGGGCCAAACCAGAAATCTTGTCTTCCTTTATGAACCAGCATGTGCGTTTTACTCGGTTTCACTTCAAAGTTCAAACCTTAATCCAAGCCTTTGTTCTTATTCATAATTCAATGTTTGTTTTATTTCTGACAAGGGCAAAGGCACACATATTCTTCTCTTATTCGAAATATCTTATGCAAATGTGAGGGTTGTTGTGGTGGAAGCTTCATATAATTTTGATTTTCGCATAGGAATGAAGGATGGTTATATAATAAGTATATTTGAATGTAATGAAGAAGCTGCAATGTGTCAAACGTGATGAAAAGGTTCTCATGTTTCTTTCCCCCCAAAGCGAACGTCAAATTGCTTGCAAACTACGGGTTGCTTTGCCTATCGCTGTTTTTGCTCGATTATTATTTATGGTATATTTAGATTAACGTTAAACGTCTATTATTCTATCATCATTATAAGTAATAGTTTTCACATTAAAATATAATTTAATGTAATTGTTAATGATTTTTAAATACACACTTAATATGTATTTTCATTTTTCAAGGTCTCTAAGGAAGAGTACTTTGGATGCTTCTACATGATACGAGAGTCATACTAGTTAATGGATCTCATGTCTCCCTCACATTTTTAAAAAGCAAAATGGGGAATAACTTAAGGTTAGAAGATTTTGATTGAATGCAGAAATATTGGTTCCAATTTTCGTAATAATGAATGACAGTAATCACTCAAGATCAGGTCCTTATTCTACTGGCCTCTGGCAAATTGCTGAAGGAGTTTGAATCTATTAGCAAACCGGAAGACCCTACTTTGACATTGGCTACAAAATATGTAGGCATAATATATACTAATAGAGTTTTGTTGTATCTTCTAACAAATATTTCCTACTAATTCTGTTAAAATATAAAGTACGCTTTTTATTCATATTTTTCAGCTTACAGATTTAATCTGATGTGAAAATTCAGTCTAAATACACTAAATTTTAATGATAATAAAACATTTTATTTAAAAAATTGTGTCAACTGACTCGTTCGCGATGGACCAACTAAATTTTTGAATTATGAGATAAATAAAGATTAGGTTTGAATTTTCAAAACGCAACCCACCATATTTTAAATTACTTGGACAGAGCAGTTGAACTCAGTCACAAGGCAATAAAAAACAGAGAAATTTAAGAGAAGCATTAGCAACATGCTTTGATACATTTTTAATACTTTTTTATTACTAGATGAAATTCAAATATCTCTCTCTCTCTATTTGATAGGGTCATATCTACACACATTTAATCTAATGATAAAAAAAATGCGAAGAATATGTCACACAAATGTATTGTACTATTATTCTCAATTTAATGTCACATAAATTGAATTATTCCATGGTCGATTAATTTGTTTTAATTTGGAAATCTTTCCGTGAAAATGCCCCCCAGTTGAAGATTCGGTTGCTAGGACATAGTTTTCGGATGAATGCCTGAAAGTTTCACTATTAACAAGAAGGGGAAAAAAATAAAGAAATTAAATGCCATGATCGTGAACCATGAACAACATTGAATGTGCAATATGAAGATAGCCGTGAGAACAACGTTAGATGCAAGATATATACATAGCAAATATGTTACGGTTTACCTTCAGGGGTGCTCTTTACCAGTCTCGTGTCACTGTTACTTCAGCATAAAGTAGCCCCTACCATTCTAAATTTCCAATTCAAGTAGGATGGCAAAGTGCTCTCTTAATTTGAAGGACACTCCTAATCTTTTAATCTATTTAATGAAAAATGTGACGGTTTCCTCCGTCAATTTCCTACTATTATTCAGTCCCCCACTTTTGGTTTTAGATGCAAATTAATCACAAGCAGCAAAAATACATATTTGGAAACACAAAAATCAAGAAAAAACTTTCTCCTAACAAGCATGTATACATACAATTTTTTATGAACAATGTTTATCGCATAACAATTCATTAAAATAAAGAACAAACAATATATGGCAAACATAATGTTCTAAAGGTAAAAAAAATGAAAAAGGAAAAAAACTATGATAATGTCTTGCGTGTGATCATTTACCAATTACCATTTCCATTTTCGAAATAGTAAGAAAATCAATAAGAAATAAGAAAGCAGGGCAAACGTGGGAGCTGTTTGACTTTGTCATATTCAGACACATTTCCTCTTTCATGGTACCATACTATACACAAAGGGTGTTAAGTGAATGAAGCTCTATTTATTCCCATTCAATATCCATGGTTTAATCCAGGATTAATTGAGAACATAGCCCATCCAATGATGGGGGTTCAGAACCTTCAGAGAGAAGGGTGAGGGTCCCCATCCATAGCCTAAAATACTACAAAAACAAAACCATCATGATAAGTTGAGGACTAATGTGAACTCCACCAACTTCTCCTTCATTAATTCATATATATTCTTCGCTTTACTCTCTCTCTCACTTGGAAGCCTGGCTAGCCCACCTAGCCTCTCTCTCTTTCTCTCTCTCCATTTTATAAGTTGAACTTTGCTAACTCAAGCGTGTTTGAAACCTTATTCTCCAATTATAAGTCACCCCATAGATCTCTCTCCTCGGTGAGAAAAACTCACACAATGAAGACCAACCCAAAATCAGAACCACCACTTATATTCCTTCTAATCCTCTCACTGTTGTTGCCACCGTGTCTATCATTCAGCAACAATGCCTCAACCGCAACTAAAACTCTCCCTCATCAATTCAAAGAAGCCCCTCAATTCTACAACTCCCCAAGTTGCCCCTCCATTTCCGACAACATTAACGACGACACTGACTCATACATATGCTCCGAGGAAGCTGTACACGTGGCAATGACACTCGACACAACCTACATTCGGGGCTCCATGGCAGCCATCCTCTCAGTCCTCCAACACTCTTCGTGTCCCCAAAACATCTTCTTCCACTTCGTATGCTCCTCCAGCGCGTCCCTCCTACGCGCCACGCTTTCCAAATCCTTCCCATACCTTAAATTCCAACTCTACAACTTCGACGCCTCCATCGTCTCAGGCCTCATCTCCACCTCAATTCGCTCAGCACTAGATTGCCCTCTAAACTACGCGCGTAGCTACTTACCCAACCTCATTCCACTGTGCGTTAAGCGCGTGGTGTATCTTGACTCGGACCTTATTTTAGTCGATGACATAACAAAACTGGCGGAAACCCCATTAGGAGAAAACAATGTTTTAGCAGCACCTGAATATTGCAACGCAAATTTCACCTCGTATTTTACTCCAACATTTTGGTCGAACCCTTCTTTGTCACTAACGTTTGCGAACCGAAAGGCTTGTTATTTCAACACGGGGGTGATGGTGATTGATCTAGAGAGGTGGCGCGTGGGGGATTACACGAGGAAGATAGAGGAATGGATGGAGCTTCAGAAGAGGATGAGGATCTATGAGTTGGGTTCGTTGCCACCGTTTTTGCTAGTGTTTGCTGGGAACATAGTTGCGGTGGATCATAGGTGGAACCAACATGGGTTAGGTGGTGATAATTTTCGTGGTCTTTGTAGGGATCTTCACCCTGGCCCTGTGAGTTTGTTGCATTGGAGTGGGAAGGGTAAGCCATGGGTTCGATTGGACGCTAATAGGCCTTGTCCTTTGGATGCACTTTGGGCACCTTATGATCTATTACACACACCCTTTTCTTTGGATTCTTAAAAAAGTTTAAATTCAAATGTGAATTTTGGATCCTTGTATGTGTAATGTAATATAGATATATGCAAAGCTTTCTGCTTGGACATGGGAACATGGCATGAACAGAGGATGGATGGAGAAGGATTCATTTGCTCATCCGGCAAAGGAAATTCAAATGTAATTGAAATATACTCTTTTTCAAGTTACGGAAAAGTGGTCTTCTTTTCGACAGCCACTAATTGCAAGTGAAATTTAATTTTGATACCTTTCGACTTTTTGTATGATTGATATATATTGTAACAAGTAATAACTTTGTATATAGCTAAAGAGCTGCATTTTTGGATGCTGTCTCCAGAATTTTGTTTTTCGATTTCTAATAAGGAGAACATAATGGATTTTGAATAGACAATTTCGTTTTCTTCGTCTGGGTCCTATTGTTTTTAACTTCCAGTTTTCTCTGTTTTTTGTTTTATTAATTTGAACGAAGTTTTATTTTATTTTTTCTCTAATTATGTGTCTGCGGATCTTGGCGCTATTACTTTAATATGAAGAATTGAGTTGCAAGCAAGACAAATAGATGACCAGAGAAAATTGTGCCAGAGATTGGCAGCCAAATCTTAAAATTATGAATTTTGTTAATTTAACTTTTAACCGAGCGTTTAAGCATTTAGAAGAATTAAATTTTTGTTAAAAAAAATTCACTAAGTTGAAGTTATGAAAATGTAATAAATGTATTTTTAAAAAATAAAATCTGATCTTAAATTAGTTCTTTAAACTTAAATTTTAAGAGTTGAATCGAAGTAAACATTTTCTAAGGCTAATAAAAGTATAATAACTATAAAGGTTAAACTTAGATCATATGTACTATTAGTGTTGACATTAATCAAATTGATATTTCATATAAGTAATTTAGTTATTGAGATGAAAATAGTAATTATAGAAAAATGTAATTTTTTAATAAAAATAAAAAATTAATTTAAATAGATTGATATTCTAAATTTTACGCTATCACTTAATCATGATATTACTGTATCCATAAAAATACTTAATTTTTGTAATCAGTAATATAAAAATTATATGTAAAATATATTCTAATTTGTTAACATTACAAAATTGTTATACTTACAATGTACTAAAATTAAATTAAAAAAATAACATCAACAATATTGTATCTAAATATGATATTTTTTTAATCATTTTAGATATATTAAATATATAATTTTATTTAATATTTTTTTATAAAATAATAAGAATATTATTAAAAAATGAAATAGGAAGTATTATGTTAAAAGAAAAATACTTTTAAAATACACATAGCTATCCAAATGCCATCCAGGAAGAAAAAAAGTCATTGAGAAATTTGAATATGAATTTGTAGAATAGATCTCGCCAACCATTAAACGTTCAATATATGGCCAATTATCCAACCTATTATTATTATTATTATTATTATGAGGTTCAAACCTTAAATAAGGAGAATAATATCTTATCCAAGCAAGGGGCCTCATGGCGGGATTGGTTTTAATAATATTGTTATAGTATAAGATGATTATGATCCATATATTGAATATTATATATATATATATATATGCGTGTGTCAGCTGTTTAAACAATGAAAAATGATATTCATACAAAATCAAACGTGGTAACTGTTTTGTTTCTTCTTCTACTGTATTATGTTTTAATAATTATATTTTTACTGTTGTATTTTTATATATATTGATTCACATTATTTATTACATTTTCTTTCTTTCTTTCACGCAATTTATATTTAATTATTAATAGTGAAAATATAATAACCCTTTATTTTTAGCGTTTGTCTTGACAGAAATAAGATGAGGTTGGAAAGGTATTATGCATGTGCATGCAATAATGAGTAGCTGACTGTGAAAGGAAAAGAGAAACTGATTATTGAGGCGCAGGAACTATAATTGAATATCAAAATTTAATATTTTGAATACTAAAATGCTTTTTTTTTCTTTTGTTAACCTCAGCTTTAGTTTAATTATTTATAAATAAAAGATTTTATAAAAAAATACATTATTAAAGTTATAAAATATAATAAATATTATTTTAAAAAAAATTTATTATTATTAGATACTTATCTTCAATTCTAAGAATTAAGATTAACAAATTTTTTTCCTTTTGTATTTAAAATTTTATATATAAATTAAAAATAGTTAGCATTTTAATTTTATAATAAATTATTATTTAATTTTCTATTATATTCTTCATTTATCATATAGTACTTGCTACAATATTTCTAAACTTGAGAGAGCATTGAATATTTTTTTAAAATAATATTAAGATATTAAAGAATATTTATATCTTTTTAAAATACACCACTAATTACAGTACTAAAATTAATAGTTGTGATTGTTTCATTTTCTAGAGTATCTTAAAATTTACTTTATTATATTATTTTAAATAAATTATATTCATCAACTAAACATATATTAATTAATAAAGGTAAAATAAGAAAAATTAATTATTTATTAATTTTATAAAATAAAAAATTAACATAATAAGCTTGTTGAAAATTACCCGGATTAAAAAATTTAATTATTTTATTAAATTACTTGATATACTTTCTAATGTATATGTTATTGTGAATTTTTTTTTAAAACTATCCAATTAGTCTAAACATTTTATTTTTTGTACTTAAAATTTTTATAAAAATAAATTATTAAAATTATTATAAATAAATAAAAAATAAGATTGTTATATCTCTTTAATCAAATAAATAAAACAGATCGAGATAATATGAGATGCGGAATGTACTGTACCCTCCTATCCCAGCAAAACAAAATAAAAAAAATTGTAGCAAAAGATAATTAAATTATATAATATGAAAATGACATTCCTTTATTTATTAAAATATCTAAGATGAGGGGTATCTCGTAAGAGATTAACTAATAATTCACGAAAAGAATCCTAAATTTAAGCAAGTAATTTATTTGTCACGGGCACACGCTAAACCAAAGTTGATCATACTAAAAAATAATACTAAATGTTACTACCTCCATTTCAAATTAATTATTGTTTGAAGGAAATATATATACTTTTCACATTAATTGATGTTTTACAAAATACAAATAAATATTTAAAATACCAAAAAGTTGGTAAGAAGACATTGTTACGCCCAAGAACACATATAAGTAAAACATTTTTAAGATAATAATTTTATATAAAATTCTCTTAAATAATATTTTGTCTCCGCGTCTGCACGTTTCTAGGATCTCATACAATACCATAGACATTGTCAATAACCATACAAAAGTCTTGCAACATCGTAGACATTCACAGGACAACCTGTGAGATATCCATTCGATTCACCTTTTCTTTATTTTATTCCTTAATTTATATTTTCTAATCACAAAACAATTGTTGTGAAAATATAAAATTGAAAAAAGAAGGAAAAAGCAAGACGGTGTGGGTAGGGAAGTAAAATGACTCATAGGAACAAGAAATATCAAATCCAAAATTGAAAGAGAGACGCGTCAAGAGGAAAGTACTAAGTGGGTAACATGATTTGTACGGCACAAGATGGAGTCCCATTTCTTCGGTGCTTCCCCACACTCTCTCTGATCTGGAAATTGAAATCTAATACCATAAAATATTATGGTAATTTTTTTATGTTTATCAGCGTAAAAAGTAAAAACTGTTTTGATGCCTTCTTTCATGCATGTAACAGTGATAAATTAAAATTAAGTACATAGGAAGTACTGTACTGTGCAATTAGTTATGCAGCGTTTTTCATTGCGCCCTTTCAAATTCAATCGCTATTACCTACCATCGTCCCACGAATCTTTGTCCCCTGATGAGGCTTAGTCGATAAAATATTTAAAATTATATGACAGTTTTGTTTTTACTATTTTTTAAACACTTTGTACACCTTTATTGACGTTGATATCTAATATTCTTTTATAAAGATTATTCAGATCTAGACATTTCATCTTGCACCATAGAGTGGGTGCCTATCCTTGCATTCAGAAGCTTTTATTTATTTGTTTTTAAGTAGTTTCAGAAGTAAAAAAGTAATTTTGTGGATAATTGAATCTTTAATGTTAATATTTTATTTATTATTATTAAAATTATTGGCATTATATTTATTATTTGAACTAACCGTTCATTAGTCTTAATTATTATTATCATTATTATGAAACTAACAAACCTAATTTTTTTGACATTTTTATAGAAGTAAATTTGTATTACCTTAAATCTATTATGCATAATTTTAGCATGGGATCTTATTCAAAAGTTTCAATTTAACTATAAGTGATTAAATTGATTGCTCCATCCAGCTCTACACCGAAGATTTTATTTTTTAATAAAGAATTTTATAATTTAGATCCAATACTTATTTGCACGAGTCAATCCAATGTATTAATCGATCGGTTTAATTTAATATATTTTCTAACTAGTATGCTAGAGACTTTGTTAAAAATATAATAAATAAAATTTTTATTGATGTATTAAAAATTAAGTTTAATTTTAATACACTGTTAGTGTAAATATTTTTTATATTATAAATTAATAAAAATACACAGTGTGTATAATTTTTAAATTAGTTATTATAAAAATTAATAATTTTCATTGATATAATAATGTATAATTGAGTGATAGTATAAAAAAAACTTCTGTGTTATAGGTGTATTCTAATTAAAATCTTAAAAATTATAATTAGAATGTTTTTGGTATCGATTCTTAATACATTAATATATATATATTTAACAAAAAAGGTACCTGATTTCTTAATAAATACCATTAAAACATCTTAATTTTCTTTAATTTAATCACCCAATCGAAAAATTTAATCATTAATTAAGCGACAGTAATTGTCATATTTAATGTGAATGAGTCATCATGTCGTTTTTAATTAAGTAATGATAATGTTGTCTTAATTCCGAACTTCCATGAACTTTCCTCTAAACACAAGGACTTTATTTTATCGTGTACGCAATGTTGATTAAAGATAATTACAAAAATTTGTAACTATGGTCCGTATAAGATGAATTAATATGGGATTAAAGTGATAGTCATGGAAGATCTTTTGTCCAAAAAAAAAATGTTACTATATGGTTTGATTTGACCTCTTCTCTTATCAGTAGTTTTTTAGTAACTTCAATTAACTGCGTTATGATAAAAAATGGAAAAAAAACTTGATCCAATTGGTTGTTGGTTTCTCTCCACTATGTGAAAGTCATGAATTGCGTACACCGCATTATAAAATGGAAGAAAGCATTTTGATGTTACGTTTTATGCAATGAAAAATTAAAGCTAGATTAAATTTACAAGTAAGATAAATATTAGGACTGTTTACCTACCTGCTCCTCATAGAACCTTTCACGGTTTGAAATAATCCTTCCTTTATTT